GCGGTTATTGTTTGGAGGGAGAGTCCCCCTCCCTACAGGAAGCCATGACCACATGTGTCAGGAGGGAAAATGGCCACAGATCCTGTTCGTCACCCAATGCGGAGTTCTTGAAAGGATGCAAAATTTTGTGAATGGTGCTGTTCGTGACCCGAATTGGCCGTGAACAGAAGCATTCATGACCCGAGTTACCACTGTATAGTCACTAAAATTCCACTGAAAAAATTACATGTTTGAACAAACTGGGAATATATGTGAAAGAAGAGAAGAAATGGAATGGAATGGAATGGAATAAGAAAGTAGTAGAATGGAAAGTTGGGTAAACAAATAAAGTGAAAGAGAATCAAAGATGATTAAAAATAAATTAGTTCTGTCTTCTTCATATAAGAGAAAACACTGCAACACACACAACTGAACAAAAACAGATCCTGGATGACAATGAAGTGTGTGTGTTGTGACAACAAATATACATCAACCCATCCTAAAGGCTAAGTTTGGGGCAAGTGTCCCTCTGATTTAAAGACAAACCTGCCAGTCTCTAAACCCAACACCATGACTATACCAAAGTGTTCCATCAACAAGTGCCAAATATTAAGATTTCCTTTCTTTTTTGGCAGGCAATACCTGAACTTTCCAGAGCACTGAGATCCTAAACTACATTCCCAAAGGAGAGTTCTGTGAAGGACATTGAACTGGAGAATGCAGCTATGTAAAAAATGACCAGAAATTGCCCAATTCTGCACTGGGTCCAAAATTCACACATAATCTTAGTAAGTGTACAAAAATTATTAAACTGACATGGAAATACAACACTGAAAATATTTTATTACAATTTTTTGCATATTTCTGGTTCTCATCAAAAAGCAAAATATTTCCATTCAAAACAGGATTGTAACATCTTTTTGGAATATGAAATTGGCAAGGTAATAAATATATTAGTGCTGAGCAGATGGCTATTTAAAAAAAAACCCGGACACCTTTAAGATAATTTCAGGTAGAAAATTCTCAATAAAATTTTAATTTGGTATTCATCACAGTTACTTATTGCAACCACAAGGCTTTATGTAATCCCCAGACCCTGCCATATTCTCTGAAATGACCATAGAAACAATGTTGTGTTGCACTTTCCTGGGAATTCTATGGAACAGGCTTGCTTTAGAGTTGGAAAAATTTTGTCCACCTTGTAAAGTTAACTAAGTTAATACTGCCTTAGTTAAAAATTTAAGGGATTTCCCTTAAATTTTTACATGGTTATCATTCACCTTCATAATGTTTGTCCTTTAATGTTAACAAGATATATCAGTTGTTTTTGTTTGTCTGCTGATAGAATGATGATCATGCAAAGGCTTCAGCAACTGAAGAGAAAAGGAGGTAATTGTCCATTTTCCTCCTGCACCACCTCCAGTGAAACATCCTCCAAATTTTTAGGATAGTTATGAAAGTGTTATGTTCTGTTTCTGTTTCTCCCAGTGATTCAGAGGACTCCAAGGCAAAGAGATCATCATTTATTTCTGTAAAGCATAATTCAGGTAACTTTTGTAATTCAAACAAGTAACTCATTCAGATAAAATCCTTTTGAAAACCATGATGAGACATTTTGACAGTTTCCATTTACTACTGATCTAAGGAATAAATACATCATATAATGAAACTATCTGTTATTAGTGGGTAAAATGGCTGAAACTGAATCTTGACTAGTAGGCTCCAATTCAAGGATGGTTTATCAACACAACTATTGTTCCATGATAGGAAAGCCATTACCATCGCTTTGTCATATAAAAAAGAGCTATGTTCAATCCTAGAGATTATTGGCTCATTGGTTTCTTGAACACTATCAGTAAGACTTATGCTAGACATCTTTGCTGGAAATGGTCAGATTGGTCAAAGCAGAAAAAACATACTAGCAGAAGACCAGGCCAATTTTTAAGGCAGTTTATCTATAATTGATCGGTGTTTAGAAGAGAAGTATAAATAGTACCTCAAGGAGCCATCCATGTTGCTTTTGTAGACTTTAACTTGGCTTTTGAGCTGATTTTGAGGAGCAGTTTATTGAAATAATTAAAAGTCTCAATCACAGATCAGCAGTTCCTGGCATTAATTAAAATGTTGCATAAAGATTCCTATCTGCATGTTAGCAATGTAGAAAGGGATGGGTGACTGCTCTTATTCTACCTTAAAGGGTAGAAAGCAAGGGCATATTCTACTTCCATTACTGTTCAGTAGTTACGCTAATATACTGGACTCATGATAAAGGAATACTTTCCACCATGTACGGTAGGCAGACGTATTGTGACAGGCCTGTATGCTGACAATAAAGCACTACATTGTGGGGAAAATAGAGGAAGGAGTATTAGGAATATGTGCTGCCTTGAGTTATATATAAAAAGGCAGGATGAAATCATCATCACCATCATCCCCTCCATAGATACCTCCTTATTGTGGGGGAGGGGGTTATGATGTTCTGTTGAGGTTGAGAGCTATGCTGGCAGTAGTATATTCTATCAGAAGGGTCACCCAAGCCAGACAGGTCTCAGCAGAAGAGCCAGACTAAGTGTATCCATCAACCCATTAACTATGGTGAGAAAACAGAAAATGAATCCTATACCAGATCGGTCATCACCCAGGTCAACAAGGACTGCCTTAGGTGTTAGAGTTCCTGGATATCTGTCAAAAAGTGGGCAACAGGACTCAGGAGCTATGGCTGGGCAACCAGGGCTTAGCCTTGTAGGATTACTAGAAGAAGAACAACCACAGAAAAGACAAAAGTATACTGTGTTTGAAAACCGTGCCATTATGGCCTGATATTATTAATTGGAATCAATAAAGTGGGGCTACTTAAAACGAATGTCTGAACTGTGGAAATGAATTTACCCAGATTCAAATATCATTGAACAATGATTAGCAGATCAAAGGAGATTCATTATCAGAAATGAAATATTCAAGGATGCAGAACTGGAAGAAATTCAGAAAAATTGTGAAAATGGAAGACCCAAAAACAATAGTAGAAGAAACTCAGATAACAACAATTGGAAATACAGTGGTACCTCGGGATACGAACGCCTCTACTAACGAACATTTCGGGTTACGACCAGCTTCGGCAGGAAAAATTTGCCTCAGTTTACGACCAACTTGGGATATGTCCAGAGTCACGGAACGGATTAAGTTCGTATCCCGAGGTACCACTGTATAGAGGAAACAGCTGATATGAACTACAGAAATGATAACTTAGAAAAAGTAATAACAACAGAACCAGTCAGCACTGAAACAACCTATGAACTGACTCTCTGACAAGAAGAATTAAAAGAGAAAATTATGGTATACAAGCAATTGCCAGTAGAAAGACAAAGACTACCAGCACTGAAAAGTGCCCAAAAAAGACCTGGCACCCATAATGAAGGATGTGAATAAGGCGCTTGCAATGATTAAAATAACATCTATCAAACAGACCAATCAGCTTGCCTATAGTACAGCAGTGGTGGTTACAGAAGAACTGGGTACCGAAATTAAAACACAAAAAACAAAATCATATTCAATCCCAAATTGGAAGATCAGACTGGAGGCCAAGATAAAGAAATTAAGAGCAGATGTGAGTAATTTAAAGAATATGAAAGAGCAAAAATTGAAGAATGTAAGGATCAAGACAAGCCTAATAAAAAAATATTGACTCAGCACCAGAAAAATTGAAGAAGCTTTGGAAATCATAAAGCAACAAATAACAGCAATAGCTGGGAAAATTGAATGCTATGAGGCACAAATCATCCAATTTAAGCAAAATCATCTATTTCAATCTGATCAAAGGTGATTCTACGAAAGTATAAATGGTAATAGAAATTCTAAAAATGAAAAAACAAACAAAAACGAAACAATCCAGTTTTGGAAAGATCTGTGGGAAACTCAGAAAGATTATAATAAAAATGCTGGATGAATAAGTCTACGAAAGTATAAATGGTAATAGAAATTCTAAAAATGAA